TTAACACATGTGGAATGAAAAACAATGAGCCATTAAGTCAACTGACTCCCTCTGCCTAAATAGTGATGTACTGTGGAGCACGAATCAAAGCAGGGTGCTTCTATCTTGATCAGAAAATCAGGGAAAATCATCTTCCCTGCTTAATACACACACCCCAATTGGAAGAGGAGGAGGTGTGGAGAGGAGGGCTGATTTGGGGGAAAAGGGTGCAAGAAAATACAGTCTTCTGAAGTTCTACACAATCCACGAGATATGCTCTGCTAAGTGGACACCACAGGGACATGGTTTTTCGATAGGAGGAGATGCCCTCACTTTTTAAAAGATGGCAAGTACTGGTTTAAAGGACTGTTCATGCCCTGTCTTGAAAGTTGTATGGTGATGAAAATCTAGGCCGTCACCAAAGTTCTAGGTGATGGGCAGGACCTAGGATCTTTAAAAGAGGGAACAGTTTGAAGCACAGGACATGGTAAGGCTCCTTGGGACACGCAATGGAACCTGAAGGACACAGTGCTGGGGTAATGATGAAGAGTAACATTTCCCTACCAGACCTGGAAACATTTTAGTATCCAGAACAAAAGCCCCTTGGGTCTTGCACCAGTCATTCCGTGCTCACCTCACACACATATCTGCTTCGTATTTTTTTCCATAAAGGATTCCCAGTAAAGAGGGGTTCTTGTTTCCTCGGAAGTTTAGTGTTACATCATACACTGCTGAAACTGTTGCAAGAAAAAAGAATACAGCCATTATCTTAGCCTTCCATGCATCCAGCTTGCCCATGTTCAAACTTTAAATAAAAACAAACTGAAGCAAACACTGCTTTAATGATGTCAGTTAGCCAAATACTGCCAATAGTTTAATTCATAAGGCGTAACCAACCAGACTGCTACTTAATTTATCCTATTTTGCAAATGCTTCACAAGAGTATAGCAAGAGCTTGGTGCATGTTCATATATTGGTACTTTAAAAGGTGTAAAATATTAATTTGCGCAAATTAAAACTAGAACAGTCATGCATTTTAAAGATTGCTCATCAAGGAGTCAAGTGCTTCAAAGTAATATTAATGATGTCAAATTGCTGTAATGAGTCTGTATTTTCACCAAATATGAATATATTGAATCATCAGGTACTACACCTGATCTAAGCCTGCAAGAGGCCAAGAAGCTAGTACTGTTAAGAACAAAGGAAAGCTAGCATACCTGTTCCCCTGAGACACTGGACTGCAGTGGTGAAACCTTTGGTTCTGGGTAACAGATGATATTTGAGTTTAGGCAATCCCTTGGATGCAGCTACCTCCATGCTGATACGATGCTTAGTCTCTGTAAAACGAGTTCCTTCGCAATACAAGAGAAACTAGCACACAAAACAAGAGGAAAAACAAGAGTATCTCATGATAACAAGCAGAAATTGAAGTGGCTGTGCAACAGAACAAGGCAGAGGATATGGTACTTTTATGGAGCATGCACACTTTTTCTTTATTTGTTCTATAAGCATCAAAACCACTTTATAACTCTTCACTAGCACAAATGAATATAAAAGATAGGCTGTGAGAGAACTGAATCAGCAGTTTGCTGAGCAGCTTCATTTTCAGGACATAAATAGTTAAAGCAGGGGTGGACAATTATTTTGGGCGGAAGGCCGCTTACTGAGTTTTGGCAAGTCATCAAGGGCTACATGACAGGCAGCCAGGAGCAGATAAATTTTAATTTTTTAAATTTTTTAGGGGCCCCACGGGCCGGATAGAATGGCTCGGTGGGCGATATCCGGCCTGTGGGCCGCATTTTGCCCACCCGAGTTGAAGCCTGGTCTCAAAGAATGCAAGGCTATAAATGCAAACATTCACAGAACCACTTAAATAAAGGGCACAGTTTTGGATCTCAGTCCCCCCTCCCTGCCCTTAATCAAACAAGTAGATACACACAGACTTACATTTAACATGCATACAAATCTCCATTTTGATTCCAGCTCAGTCACTGCTTCCTCTAAAAGCTATAGGAGGATTCAAAACTGGATGAAAGTAACTTCAACCCTTCAGTAGCATAACTGTGGCCACGGGCCACATGCCACACAGGCTACACCAGCAGGAGTTGCATGCCCTGGGATCTGCACCAGTGTAAGGTCATGGGTTCCCAGGTCACACCCCTAACACACCACTGCACCATACTGTGGACTCCACTGGTGTCAGGGGTGGCACCACTCTGCCCCCTGGGGCAAGGGCAGGAGCAGACAGTGAAAGCTCATTGAGGGGGAGGGCCTAGGCTAGGGACAGAAGTTGCACAAACTGGTTTTAGTGATCAGAAACTGGTTTAAACCTGTAACAGAACAGAAGGTCAGTGCACATAAACCAGT